AAAGAGTGAGGAATAAAGGGTTACTAAAGTAGAGTTCTAAACTGGTATAAAAACTGGCAATAGTTCTTCCAACTGTGGACTGGAGTGAACCGAAACTAAATGCTTTGCTGATTACACTGATATGCACCTTTCTGTTATTTTTAGATGTAGCAAGTTGCAGTCCAAGGCTCCTTAAAAGGCAGCTTTTAAAATTCCTAAGTCCTGTCAAAAGCCTTTGGACGTTTTTTGTCTCACATGTTCCTTCCCAGATGTGGTAGAGTTCAATTAGATATTGGGTTTTCACATGAGTTTTTCTTGTAATAAAGTTCTTTGGGGTTTTGTCTCCAGCCTACAGACAAGATGCCACACTCGGGATCGATGTGTTGGATTCAAGTGCCAATTGTATTGAGCAGACAACAGAATGGAGTGCTTGTTCCAAAAGCTGTGGAATGGGCTTTTCCACCCGTGTTACCAACAGAAATCAACAGTGTGAAATGGTGAAGCAGACACGGCTTTGCATGATAAGACCTTGTGAAAATGAAGAACCATCTGATAAGGTATGCTGCAAAGCAGTGGCGGGGGAGCAGAGTCTCTTCAGCTGTAATACCAAAGTTGCAATATTATGGTCTAGAATGCTCCAGATGCAAGTATACGTCAATACATCTTTTAGCATATGTGCAGCGAGCCCAGTGTTTTTGGAAAGCATAAGACTTGCTGTGTTTGCTCAGTAGCTTTGTGCTGCACCTCCAGCAGGTCAAGGGAGGTGATTCTGCCCCTTTACTCCGCTCTCGTGAGACCCCACCTGGAGTCCTGTGTCAAGCTCTGGAGCCCTCAGCACAGGAGAGACATGGACCTGTTGGAGCGGGTCCAGAGGAGATGACAAAAATGGTCCGAGGGACGGTACACCTCTGCTGTGAGGACAGGCTGAGAGAGTTGGGGTTGTTCAGCCTGGAGCAGAGAAGGCTCCAGGGAGACCTTACTGCAGCCTTCCAGTACTTCAAGGGGGCCTACAAGAACAACGGGGACCGACTTTTTAGCAGGGCCTGTAGTGATAAGGGGTAATGGTTTTAAACTAAAAGAGGGTAGATTTAGACTGGATCTAAGGAAGAAATTTTTCACAATGAGGGTCGTGAAACAGTGGCCCAGGTTGCCCAGAGAGGTGGTAGATGCCCCATCCCTGGCAATATTCAAGGTTAGGTTGGATGGGGCTCTGAGCAACCTGATCGAGTTGAAGATGTCCCTGCTCATTGCAGGGGGGTTGGACTAGATGGCCTTGAAAGGTACCCTCTAACCCTAACTATTCTATGATTCTATGGTAATTTGAGCTGTCCCAAACAGATCAGATGTATTGCACGTGCAGACTATTTTGACAGCTCACACAATCTAACTTCTCCCACAAATGCAGTTATACTACCTGTATGCATACTTCATAGTTGTTCTAGTCATGCAGAATGGGTATGTCAGATTTCCAGTCTGCCTAGCATCTGGAACTGGAGAGAAATGTGTGAAATCCTGCAAAATCTGCTTGGGTAATTTAAACCTTATCTTAATACTTTACGATGCTTTTTCCAATAACAAATCCAACACCGACACTTCAGGTGCAATAAATGCGTATCTAAGGGAGATGAGTTTTTTGCTGCTTCTACACATTATACAACTGTTAATGCCAGGGAGAATAACATATAGCTAGGTAAGAGGACCATCATTTTGCGTAATGTTTTGAGTGTTAGAAAGCTAAGGCCCTTGCTGAATACTTCGTGCAGTTTCAAATACTGTGTTTTGAAAAGGATATGAAACATTTGAGAAGAGTTGGGGAGACTGATAAGAATGGTCAGAGGTCTAGAAAACATGTTCTGCTAGGGAAAAAACTGATTGAACTGAACTTTTTCTGAATGCAAGAGAAGAGAGATGCGTTCTCATAACTGTATTCAGATATTGCAGCCTGTTCTGGGTCCATGGGGGATACAAGAAGAAATGGTGAGTTCAGACTGCATAAAAATTAAGACATGAGTGAAACCCTTCCAAGGAGTAAGAATAGTGAACTGTTAGGATTATCTGGGGCAGATGTGGAGTCTCTGTCACTGAAGACTTCCAAGGACTAGTTAGACAGCCATCTGTTAAGAATAACATGATAAAGCTGGTTCTGCCTTGGATCACAAGAAAGAGCAATGACTTTTGAGGTTTGTTTTAGCCCTCTTTTTTTCCCCTGAATCTAGTCCTGTAACTTGCTCATTTGGCTTTCTGCTCATTTGGAACTACACTAGCCTGAGAAGTTTTCCAGCAGAGTATAGTTTCATAATGAATGTTGGTTTGGCTTGTCTCAGATGACAGGAATGGGCTTTAATTATTTGTCATTTATTACTGGTCCAATAACACACTGGTGCCAAAGGGCAGGTCTTGCAGGAGTTACCTGTAAGTAACTACTGAAGTAGTTGCAGAGTTTTACTGCTGTTGAATGAGGAAAGACAATAAATTTAAGTTTTCAGAGTAGACCTATATCCTTGCATGTCAGTTTTTAACTGCTTTCTGTCTTATGCAACGATATATCTAATGTCTCTTCATATTTCTCTCAGAAAGGGAAGAAATGTATCCGAACAAAGAAGTCCCTGAAAACTGTTCGCTTTGAGTACAAGAACTGCACTAGTGTGCAGACATACAAACCTCGTTACTGTGGCCTCTGCAATGATGGGCGATGCTGCACCCCACACAACACCAAAACAATTCAAGTTGAGTTCCGCTGTCCGCAGGGCAAATTCCTAAAAAAACCAATGATGTTGATCAACACCTGTGTCTGTCATAATAACTGTCCTCAGAGTAACAATGCTTTCTTCCAGCTGTTAGATCCAACATCTAGTGAAGCAAAAATATGAAAAGCATAAACTAGGTAGCGCAAAAGGTATAGTTTATACAGAACTTGACCCACAATCAGGTGAATGTAACAATTGCATATGTAAAATATCTAAGATGTTTTCAAAACTGTCTAGGTGCTTTGTTTTTTCCTATAGTTTATTAAATACCTCATTTTACATTTCCCCCCTTGAAATGTCTTTTATTCACTTGAAGGAAATTTTTTACTTTAGATAGAGTCTTCTTTTTTTCTTGACGGTGGCATAAAGATTACAAAACAAACAGCTAGTCTTTCTCCTTGAGTTAAGGGGATCATGCCATGAGCTTCAGTAGCTTTTAAGACTGGGCTCTTTAAGAGTAAATGGATTCCTTGGGGAATGCATAATACCATATCACATAAGCTTCCAGGTTCTTAACTTCACTTTGCAAAATGCATATAGACACTTAAGCAGTGTTCTTTTTCCATTCTAATGAAGCTTGGTTTCTGATGACAGTAAAAATCTTACTGATGAAAGTGTTACGTTCTTTTGTCTTATAAAATACCTTCTATCTGTATCTCTGACTTTCTCTGAGGTTTAAGTTTGCACATAGCTCCCGAAATGACATGGCTAAGATCTCTTATCCTGAAGCATAGCAGATTGATAGCTGACAGCAATTAAATTTCTCTTTGGTAACTTCACTGGCAGTCTAATACAAAACCTACTGAAGTCAGCATCTTAAGATAACTTGGTTCTAACCAATATGTGTCTGTAGATGTAACTATTTGGATACAAAAATAAAATCTCTGTAAATTCCTCTAAAGTACTAACTGTATCATACGGTGCTTCATTTCTTAGAAAGGTGTATATGTAAATAGAAACTGTATATATTGTAATATAACTTTACTAAGTAAATAAACTTTATGTGATTTAAAATACTTTTTCCTACAGTTGTTTTTCTTAATAAAAGCAATGGGAGGAAAAAGGGTCTGCAGACTCCTAAAATCAAAAGACCCTATCTTGTAATGTTTTTAGTGTACCTCATCCTAATTGCTGCCCCAACAGGTATGCAGTGTCTTGGTGCAGGAAAGGATGAATAATTTGTGACGCACACATTAGAAGGGAGGTTTTTTCAGAATGAGTTAGCCTGGGAGACAGGATGATGTAAATAAAGTTAGATTTGGATGCAGTGTGCCTTGAAACATAGTGGTGGTGGGGAAGGATAATTATGTGATCTGGAGTTTGGGTTTGGATCTGAAGCACTAATGAAGTATTTAATTGTGTCTTGCAGCATTTCTGCCTCATAAAAGCAGCCTATGACCCTGCTTGTGCTAGAAATTGCACAGCAATATCCCCAAGGAATAGAGAGCCTGAGGGTGGCAGTTTCGTATACATTCGTATACAAATCATGTATGTAACAGGATTGTGCAAGCAGGTCATAAGTACAATTGTGCACATGTTCAGCTGCCCAGACTGTGGGACCAAGCTTAGCTCTGTGTGTGTCTCTCTCAGATACCAGAGCAGTACTTATGCCAAAACTGTTCTATCGCCGTGTGGTAGGAAACAGCTCTCTCGAGAAAAAAAAGGCAGAAGGACAAATCTCAGCATATTTGGCCTAGCATCCTCTTTCTCCAGAGGAGCTAGCAACCTCCAGTTTGGCAATCCCTGAGATACACACACGGTGGAATTCAGCTTTAGGTTAAGACTCCTAAATTTGGTGTCTACATGTAGACATCTAAATGCCCTTTTTAGCCATGGAAGCCTAAAGTTAACTGTGAGCAAGGATCAAAAGCTGAAGTTTTTTTAGTAGCTTTTAAGTCCTCCTTGGAAGTATGAGGCCCTGGTGCTATAACCCATACTGGTTCAGTTAAGGTTAGATAGGTCATGGGTCCTTGCCTGGATTCTTCCATGGCTTTCCCCACTAACTCTGCCAATGATAAATTTCATTGTAGTCATTGCTATTGCTACCAAAACATCCCTGCCTGCTTTATGCTATTCAAACAGATGGAACAAGACTCGTCTTGCCCCTCATGAGGCACGTGCTCCTGTGTACATACGCACTCCTTGCCCTTGCACTGGTTAATTCCTAATCATAAAATCACAGAATGGTTTGGGTTGGAAGACACCTTTAAAGGCCATCTAGTCCAACCCCCCTGCAATGAGCAGGGACATCTTCAACTCGACCAGGGTGCTCAGTTCAACCTGACCTTGAATATTGCCAGGGATGGGGCATCTACCACCTCTCTGGGCAACCTGGGCCAGTGTTTCACCACCCTCATCATAAAAAAATTTCTTCCTTAGGTCTAGTCTGAATCTACCTTATTTTAGTTTAAAACCATTACCCCTTGTCCTATCACTACAGGCCCTGCTAAAAAGTCTGTCCCCATCTTTCCTATAGGCCCCCTCTAAGTACTAGAAGGCTGCAATAAGGTCTCCCTGGAGCCTTCTCCTCTCCAGGCTGAACAACCCCAACTCTCTCAGCCTGTCCTCACAGCAGAGGTGTTCCATCCCTCTGACCATTTTTATGGCCTCCTCTGGACCCGCTCCAACAGGTCCATGTCTGTCTAATGTAGAGAGTTTGTAAAGTTCTTCCTGATTCTGCACCCCAACAAACTTATGTGCTAGGAAATGCCAAGTGCTGGAGAGCATGCGGACAGGACTCCTCTAGGTGGCTGAGGAGGGGTTTAGGAGCAGGTTAGAATCTGGGAGAGAGGGAAGAAGGATTGTTTAAAAATACTTTTACCCTACATCAGTCTGGTTTGTGTAATGTTTTTCTAATATAACACAAGCTATCGAGTATTTGTCAGGATCATCTTGCAAGATGCATCTTGATTTGCAAGAGACACATCAACTACCAAGCAATGCAGCATTTGACTGTCCGAACAAATTTAAACAGTTTTTGGATTAATAAAACCTAGCTAATCCTGAGTGAGGTGTAATTAGAGAGGAATGCAGTCAACCATTGATTTTCTAAGAAGCAAAGTGGTTCACTCAATCACTTTGCTTTGACAGTTTCTCTATTTCTTTCACACCCAAAGTCATTTATACTTGTGCGTCAGCTGATTGTTGTTGCATTGCTTCTCCTTTATCCCTGTATTTTCCCTTCATGTTGCTTGGATTTTTACATCAGTCTTCATGTTTTCCTTTCATTGGATCTTACAAGCAAAGCACAGGCACCAGGAGGAGGCTTCTCAATAGGTAGCTTCCCCTTTGCAGGCAAGTTGAAGAGCTTATCTGGGATATGAACCCATGCCCCCTTGTACATAAAAGAGTAGTGATCATCCACTACTCTTAAATTTGTGGATTTTGCTCTCCAAAGGCAGGAGTTTAATTTCCAGTATTTTCTCCTGCTGAGAGACTTCCTGGGGCTCGTCCGTCACTTCCTTTGAAAAGAGGACTATGCACACTATAACATATGAGTTCAATTTTAACTGGAGAAACTCCTTTTGTCTACAGACATTTCTCCAGCACTTTAAACTATGGTCTCCACTTCAGTACATGCAAAAATGCCAAAATGCCCCCAATAACCTTCCTGAGAGATGCTCTATGTGATCTCCGCATCTTCAATCCATTTTATGAGAAGGGAGTTGCATTGTTATGAGCACTACAACCTTCACAAATGAAAAGTGTTCAACTCCTTATTCGCTATCTTTATTAACACCAGCACTATTGCAAACTCAATGTCTTCTTACAATGCTATAACATTTCAGAAGAAAAATATCTTCTGGAAAGGAACACAAATGTTTCCTCTGGACAAAAGGAGCCAAAGATCTGACCCAGTTCTCCACTGTCTTTTAGACTATATATATAATACCAATTCAGTGGCTTTTTTTACCTCAACTGAGTTTATACAGCTTTTCATCTGGTTTTCTTGTATTCATTTAAATTTGTATTACTTTAATATCGACAGTTACTAGCTTAGTCTTTGAGCCAATTTCAGCCTGTGTCTGCAAAAGGTCAAGACACCAATTTAATTAAAACATAACAGTGGTGTGTCAAACCTGTGGTATAAGTAAACTCCAATGATAAAATCCTGAACTTTTCTCTTCTAGGGCTGTGATTTTCCCAAGCAAGCAAAGTTAAATTATTCAGATTGAGCAAAATTAAATTATTCAAATGTCAGCAATTCATTTTCATACCTGCCAGGATTCACATCTGAGCATTTCAGGGAACATCACTCGACATTCAACATATGGGCCCATACAGCAATATGTACTGAGCATGATATGTTGATGGAACAAGCACAAAATATGCTGGTTGACTTGTTCATCCCATACTCTCTGCACAAATTTACCTTTCCTTTGCTGGTACCGGTCAAGGACTGTCCCAAAAATAAGCTGGTTAGAAACCTTTTATTTATTGATTTATGTATTTAATTTAACAGCTTTTGGTGCTAGCAACTGGTAGGCTAAGTGTGTCTTCAGCAAGTGGTGTTGATGGTAGCTGGTGTTACATCCTACAGCACATATAGCCAGTAGAGATGTAGCTACTTTCAGGACTGTTTCATCTCTAGAACCTCATAACAGCAACATGCGTCTTGCATTTAACCTGCTTTGAACTTGTCTAATGCAGCAGTCAAAGACATATAACAAATATGCCTTCACTGACTATGTAAGGAGACCAGCTGTTAGCCTCCTCAACTGATGCCTGACACCACAGTGAAAATCTCACAGTGAGTAAAATTATTTTCCAGTATAATTCCAGGAGGATTACAATAAAAAATACAGGAAAAGTAGAATGTCCCTATTTTTTTCTTTCTAGTCCAAGCTATAATCACAGAATCACAGAATCACAGAAT